TGATTATATGTTGTATTTGATGTAAAACATGTGTTTTTATGACACTTTATGACAGTAAATAACTTCCTAAAGATTTAGCACGTGATTAGGAACCAAACTAAGACCTTTGAGATTATTTTTGGGTGTTTCCAAGTTTAAGCAAGGCATTTTTTGGTTCGACTATCGATACTAGATGAACAATATTGATACTGGATGAACTGAGACAAAATCTAGGCATTTCTAGTAGGGAGTATATACTGAGATAGACAGTATCGATACTGCCCCTATAGTATTGATACTGAGGGTACCTGGTAACAATACTAGGCCACTTTTAACAAATAGAAGCCATTTTTAGTAGAGATACTCATGGGGGTATCGATATTTGACCTTAGGGTATCAATATTGCACGTAGATTATCGATACTACCCACTTTGGATGGTCAGATTTGGCCCCATTAAGGCCCGTAAGAGTTAAGGATGGTTCGTAATGGTGGAACTTAGTCCATGAGAGACATAAATGACCCAGGGGCCTGAAAATAGTCGTAGAAGTGGGTTACAACCAAAGTAACCATATAAAGTGTAATACGTCAAAGTATCTTTAGTCGATCACATTTTGAATAATTAAGAATGAGGATCATTACAAATAATATACCGACAAGTGGTACGATAGGTAAGTCATATTATGTAATAGAAAAATTTTGTACTCCGAGAACATTAGTGAACCGAGAACGTATAAGTTGTCCCTCCAATTCAAGGGTTATTGAAGACAAGTACTATAAGAGTGACTATAGTATTGCTACTCAGTAATGAATCTGAGTCATACATCAGGCTAGCTAGTAGTACAACCAATGAACAACAAACATAGTAATCGTCATAATATCATGAAATGCATAAAGACCTCTTTATAGATAGAAATGACTAAAATATCATTTAAGTGGTAATGTCCATAATAGAGTAGCTTAATAAACTATCAGAAATAACAGACTAATAAACCTTCGCATAATGTTCAAGATGAAAGAATGAGTGAGATAGAAACTAGAGAGGACTTGACTTAGTATATCGAGCTACACTAGAGTGTAGTTAGGCTACATCAATTGTCCTAGTGAGGCGTTGTCAGTGTTGTGTGGCCTTTGGGCTCTCATATATGCATGGGTAATTGCATTACTTCAGTACAACATATATCCTTAAACATTGGCTTGACGATTGTGTGAGACTAAGACAATGTTTCAATTAAGCAAGAATTGTACCGATGTTATGTGACATTGGGTTCCCCCTCTATGATCTACCTGATAGTTATGTGAGACAAAGAGATTATTCAGTAGCTTAGTGGGAATTATGCTGATGCTATGTGACATAGGGTTCTCTCAGTTAACTAGTGTTTCATGGTTATGTGAGACCATATACTAGCAGTGTTGCATATAGATAATGCACAACAAAGTCAATGTTGCATTCAGATAATGTATAGTAGTGTCAATTTATCATTTAGATAATGCAAAGAAGTTACAGTTAGTATTGGTAGAGACTCAATAAAGGTGTACTCATGGCGAGACCCGTAGCAGAGGATTAAGGGAAACATGAGACTTCTACTTTAGTGATAGAATAGTAAAACTGTAAATATGTAGCACTTGGTTAACATCATGCATGTACCTACTGCTTATTACCATGTCTTCAGCATGCTTATGTTTATGGGACTCATAATGTTGTTCTAGATTAGCTATTATACTGTTGGGAATTGTATGCTCAACATTTGAATGTTTTTAGTTTACATGTTATTATCTTGAGTAATTCAAGGAGCATCGTCACACAAGGACATCTAACATCTTCCTCAGAGTATTGTACTATACCTTTAGTGGGCATATGTGTTAATAAAACCTTACTCGTGTATTTGTTTTATCGAACTCTAAGTTCATATTATTTATTATTTTAAATAATATGTCACAGAGCTTCAATTTATAGAATGTTTTTATAACTATCATGTTTGTTTATTTTGAAACTATTTAGTATGTTTTGAAATGCAAGTAACAGTTTTTTGAAAATTAGGAGTTGTCTCGACAGCCCAATATGTCACTTTAGGCCCAATCGGATTTAGGGTGTTACAACACATGCGCCAATAGAACCTGACTCCCTTATAAAATAAGCACCTAGACACCTCTTCAATTAGGTGTATAAAGGCCTTGCACTATTGATAATTCGACTCAAGGTCATCCAAAAGTAGTGAATCACTCTCTTAGGGCCACCTATAAATAAAAGAATCCCACGCCTTATTATCAAAAACATCCATACACACCTACCAATCCTACAAGAGCTAGGACGTCCCCTGATCAACTATCACTACAAAACAATGAGAAAATGAGTGCATTCCTTGTCAACTCACCTATGATCGATGTTCTTTATCCAAGCAGATGAATCAAAGGTACCTTCATCAGATATACAATGAACCCCATTGGCCTACTTCCGCACACGCTAAGGTTGTAACTCTCTACCCAACCTAGAATGGGTGAACTCATAATGGATGATATAACCCATCTCTCCCCCAATCAGAAAACATCCAATGTGATCACAAAAAGGCCATCTTACCTACTGCCACAAATCTTAGGTCGAGCCACTTTATGATATTCCCATCGAATAAGGGTAGGACAATTAGTTAAACCTCGAAGATGGCCTATGGAAACCTCTCCACTTGACCAAAATCTTCGATCAACCTAAGTCCCCGTTAAACACTTTTCTTTGATCAACTATTGCGCATAAACAATACTTCTAATAGACTGGACCTGTGACAGTGAAATGCCATAATGAAATCCAAAGCCTAACTACATTTCTACCTAGCCTATTCAGCCTACAATTAGCCATGATGACCTTACAACTGAAACACAATTAAGGGCCACTATAAATACCCCAAATCAAGATTACAATAGGGAATGGATTTTCCAAAACCGATCGACCCTTCTTCTTCCTCCTCATGATAATCCTCTTTCTCCCTCCTCCAACAACCACCAGCGACTACGACTCTCCACCCAAACCAAAATGGGATGACCACTCACAGATGTTTCATCAACATTTTTAAACACATAACATATAATATAAAATAATTATATTATATTATTGTATAGATAAAAAATAATATAAAACAATAATTAATATTTTTAAGAAGTGAAATTAGAATCACTATTATAAATGCATTAATAAAAACTATAGTTATCAATTATTATAATAGATTATCAAATTAATAATTAAAATATATCTAAATTGTAATTATATTAAATCTGAAAAACAAATAAAAACTTAAATTTTAAACTTCAAATATCTCGAGGGGGGTTTCAATTAGCAAAGTTTGATTGGTTACTCGTAAAAGAAGTTTAAATACAATTAAAATACGTAAACGTAGAAACATACAAAACGATTAGATTGATGGTGGGAGTTGGTCGAAGAGCGGGTAAAGGGGGAAGAATTTCAGAGGAGAGATGGGACCCATTTTATTTTTTAATTATTTTTCTGCGTATAGGCGCACGAAAGCTACCAAGAAGCACACGTGCACACCTTTGACAAAATACTATTCTTTTAATTGTCAATTAATTACAGCAATCATCCTTCTTCCTTTTAGTTGCTTCAATTAAAATATTCTTGAAATCCTCAATTAACTTTTTAAATTAATTTGTTCAGCAAAGTCTCGTCTTATTTACTTATAATTGATTAGGTTAAATCTAAATGACTCACTTCATGACCCTCTAACCATATTTAGATATAATTGATTATCAACAAATTTTAAAATAAAACACATTCATTATATCGACAATAACAAATGGTGAAGATAAAATAAATTATAAAATTAATGATATTTGAGGTTTTAAAATTTTTCAAAAAGAATTAAGTGGTTCTAGAATTATTTTTACATTTAATATAATCCTCAAATTCAAAAAAAAATTATGTGACTCTTTGAACAGTGTTACGATACTGATGGTATTATGAAAGTCCATTATTACGGATGGTGTGACAAGTAGACTCAAACTCAATTTTTTTCAACGTGACTCTTTATAAAAGTGAATAGATTTTTTATATATTAAATTTGTGACTCTTTATAAAAGTGAATAGATTTTTTATATATCAAATTTATGTAATGATATGCAGGAATGAACGCAAGATTTTGTGTTAATGGAGAATTTATAAAATTTTAGAGTACATCAAACTTATAAAATTTAAGTAGGGTGAAAACATATTATCAACAAAAGTACATAAAAAAATTTAAAATATAAAAAAAATAAAAAAAAATTAAGAAAAATGATTGTCCTAACATGTCATCCCTTTATCCATTCTTCATGATATTTTACATGTGCACCTTATCATCCTACAATATTATAATGATTTTACAAAAATAAAACATTTTTTACTTTAAAAATAGGGTATATTATAAATTTAGTAACTAAAATTTACTCTCATTCTTATATCATTCGTTGTACTTTAATTTTTTTCAATTTCATCACCGAATTTAATACATTGAATTTTTTTGCTCACTCAGCCATTTCCTCACTAACGACGTTATAAATGGGCTTTTATATATATGCAAAACGACATTATTTTGGTGAAAATTTTGGTTTTTTTTAAACGGTTTCGTTTTAACACCGTTAACTATTTAACGGCGGAGTAATAAAAAATCAATGTATTAAATTCAGTGAGGAAATTAAAAAATTTTAAAGTTCAGTGAGCAAAATAAGGGAGAGTATAAAGTTTAGTGATGCAATTTGAAATTTACCCTTAAAAATAATGAAAATGGTAAGTTAGGGAAAATACAAAACATTAGCATAATGTCGGGGGGGTTTCGGTTAATTATATAAAATTTTGATAAAACGAAGTCAATCGCCGTGTTTGACCTCATATTCCATACCAAAATAAATAAATAACTAAATTTTCCAACATAATGATAAGTATAAAAAGAAGGATTTTAGATTTAAGAGTTTTATGATTTATTTATTTATTTATTTAACCGCGGAAGCATCTTCTATAAATCACAGTTTACTTCCTTTCTCTTTCGTTTGTTTGTTTTTTTCTAGAGGAAATTTGACATTTTCAGAGGGAACCAAGTTTTGAGCTGTTTCTTTCTTGAGAAAAAAAGGGGGGTGGGGTGTAGAAATGAGAAGCGTAAATGGAGAATCTAGAGTTCTGAATAACACGTTGGAGACCATACATGCTGCCGCTAACGCGATCGTTTCTGCCGAGAATCGTGTTCCACAAGCTACGGTTCAGGTTTTTTGTTTTAATTGTTTAAATATTTTTAAAATTTTCTGTCTCGTTTAGTTTTCTTTGTTGTGATTGTTTTAATGGAGTTCAATTCAATTAGGTTGATTTTCGGAAATGTTTTGAACTTCTCTGATATTTATTTTGTGATCTGTGTTTGCACGATTTGATTTTTTTCCCATTTTAATCACGTTATGGTGAATGGTGATTACGAAGCTTTCATCAATAATCTCATTTTTGCTTTCTTTTAGCTTAATAATATGTTGTTTTAGGCATAGATTTATCGAAGGTTGAGTTGTTACAGAATCAAGAGTCTTTAACTGTTGCCTGTGATTAGATTTAGAAATCTAAGTTCTTGCTTTTATAAGTTGTTTTTTTTTTTCCTTTGGTACTTGGCGGTTCTGGATTCTATGGATTGTCTGTGTTGATGAAACAGTGTTAATCAAAGTATATGGTTTATCTGTTATAATATTTGGTACCTTATTTACCCAGAAAAGAAATATAGTGAATTAGATGATCTTTACCTCTTGGTTCTAGCATTACTTTCATTTGGCAAAAGTTCCTAGACTCCTTGATCAGAAGTAAAGAAACAAAAAAAAAAGAGTTAAGCAGAGCTAATATTATACAAATTGGAGTTTAGATGTAGTTGTTAATTGAAGAGAGTTGTCTCTGAATTTGTTTGTATCGTTTTCTTTTTTGTGTCTGTAATGTAGGAAGAGTTAATTGTAAGGCTTCATATACATTGGAATGTTGCGAAATTAGAAACTTATGTACGTCTTAACTGAATAACTCAGATGAATCCCATTTTCAACATCCAAATTAAAGTTTGATACTCGGCCCTTCTAAATACTAGAAACTGTTATGCTCTGTATGCAAATATGATTTCCCTTGTACCGGAGGTCTAGGTGAAGAGTAGCCAATTCTTATCACCGAGGAAAAGCTTCGGAAATACTAAAACAATAGGTAAGAACTGGGAAGGGCATCTGCTTCTTGACCTTAATTTAGATGGTAAAACTGTGGGATTAAATTGGGGGGGTCTTTTAGGTTAAAAGCTTTCTAATTGAAAAAAGAGCTGCATGCTCATACTCTTTCTACCAAACAGTTGAAAGCACACTTGCAGAATATTATCCGACAAGTTTTGAGCATTTGTGCTTTACAATGTTTCATTAATGGATACACTGCGGTAAAGCTTGGATGAGTATGGATTGTGTTATTGGTGTAATATGTCTTTATGTCTTTTCAGGACAAAAGCTTTCTAGTAATTAATTGTATTGCCAATTAGTTGATTTCCCATTTGCTACATAAGCGTTTGGTGCCATTTCCTGTATTAATCCATTTTATTATAAATTTGGTGGCATTCAGAAGAGAAGATGGGGTGGCTGGTGGAGTATATATTGGTGTTTTGGATCTTACAAACAGAAAAAGCGAATTGGGCCTGCTGTTCTTGTTCCTGAAACAAGTGCTTCTGGCGGTAATGTGCCTGCTGCTGAAAATCAAAATCCGACCCAAGCACCAACCATTACACTTCCCTTTGTTGCACCACCCTCTTCTCCTGCATCTTTCCTTCCATCTGAACCCCCCTCTGCTGCACGGTCTCCAGTTGGTTTAGTGTCTCTCACCTCTATTTCCGTCAGCATGTACTCTCCAGGTCCTTCTTCTATTTTTGCGGTTGGTCCTTATGCTCATGAAACTCAGTTAGTCTCGCCACCTGTTTTCTCGGCCTTCCCCACCGAACCTTCAACTGCTCCATTTACTCCTCCTGCTGAGTCAATGCACTTGACTACACAATCCTCGCCTGAGGTGCCATTTGCCCGGTTCCTCGGCCCCAACCTCCACTATGGAGAGGCTGGACAGAGATTCCCAATATCCCACTATGAATTTCAGTCTTATCACCTTCATCCCGGGAGCCCTGTTGGCCAACTGATCTCCCCAAGCTCAGGAATCTCTGGTTCTGGCACCTCATCTCCTTTCCCCGATGGTGATTTTGCTGCTGGTCTACGCTTTCCTGAGTTCCAAATGGGTGACCCTCCCAAGCTCTTTAACCTTGATACGCTTTCCAACCGTGAATGGGCATTACATCATGGTTCTGGCACTTTAACCCCAGATGGTACAACATCCACAATACGCAGTGGTTTTCTACTGGATCATCAGATCTCTGAGATTGTTTCACATCCACGTTTGGATAGAGAAAACCAAACCAATCAGGTTCCAGCATATAGAGAAGGCAAACCGCAATACCATAAGAACAGATCCATCACTCTTGGGTCAGCTAAAGAATTCAATTTTGACAACGTTGATGGATGTGTGGAAGTTGAGACAGCAACCCTATCCAAAGCTGTGGCAGAATCTCTGCGGAATGCAACTGTAAAACAGAAAGGAGAAAACGCTACCAAGTTGGTGGAAACTTATGAAGGTCGTATTGGTGAAACATACATCGAAAGAGCAGAAAAAGCTCCAGCTGATACAGAAGGCAGACCATGGCACCATAAGAACCGATCCATCACTCTCGGGTCATCTAAAGATTTCAATTTTGATTATGTTGATGGATGTGTGGAAACCGAGACAGCGATACTGTCTGAAGCTGCAGCAGAATCTCTACTGAATAAAGCAGAAAGACAGCAAGAAGAAAATGCTACTAAGATGGTAGAAATGTGCATTGAAAGACCAGAAATACCTCAAGCTGATACGGAAGGCAGACCACAGCACCATAAGAGTCGATCCATCACTCTCGGATCATCTAAAGATTTCAAGTTTGACAATGTTGATGTATGCGTGGAAATCGAGACAGCGACGCCGTCTGAAGCTGCAGCAGAAGCTCTATGGAATGAAGCAGCAAGGCAGAAAGAAGAAAACGCTACCAAGCTGGTGGAAACTTACGAATGTAGTGTTGGTGAAACATACATCGAAACACCAGAAAGACCTCCAGCTGATACAGAAGGCGGGCCACGGCACCACAAGAACCGAACCATCACTCTGGGTCATCTAAAAATTTCAATTTCGACAATGTCGACGGATGCGATACCCATAACAAGCCCATCATTAGTTCCGATTGGTGGGCAAATGAGAAGGTAGCTGGAAATGATGACGGTGTGCCCAAGAATTGGTCATTTTCCCCCATGATGCAGCCTGGTGTAAGCTAAACCGGTAAGCATTTAGTTGGAGATCTACACATCATTTTATGAACTTAGCCGAGGCTTTGGGAAACAAACAATTTGGTAACAACAGGGTGCAATCATTCAATCAAATTATAGATAATTTTTGGGCTTTGGGATGGCATGTTGCATGACTGGCAATTCATGAAGGCTGTTTTTTGAGTCCTTCGTGACTAAAAAGCAGGGTCTTATAGGAATATTTATATTGTTACTATATGTATTACATTTTCTTTCTGATATTTTTGCCTACTTATGTAAAATATTATTATCCATAATAGCTTTAACAGTTTTTATTTTTTTTATAATTATTAGTATATGAGCCATCAGCCTATTAATATAATCTTTTAAATCTAATTTGTTTTATTCACGATGTCATAATTTGAATTTATTTTATAAAATATCATAATTTGAATTTTAAATGTCATTTGAGAGATTCAGCCTTCATTTTATTGAACAATTGGTAGTTCTGAATTTAAATGGTAGCTGTTTAAAGAATTTGATAATCTATCTCGTTAAATAATTGAGAGTGATTCTAAAATTTCAACATTGAATCTTTTAAAAAGAGAACTTTTAAAAGTTATTAAAACTACCATGGGCACAATAATTAGGAAAATGTATTACTTATTTTAGTAACCTTATATAATGGTGGATGCTATATCGACCTACCCTGTTTGTTATATTATTTCATCGTAAAAGTTTGGCTAAACTATTTCATTTATCACTGGACTTTATTCTCTCATATTTCACTCAGTGCAAGTCTAATTTTTTCAATTTACTCACTAAACTTTTGAATTATTTATATTTTGGTCACTATAAATTATTTTATTATATTATACTACGACATGGCATTTTTATATTTTATTAAATATAAAAATAATTTAAATAAATAATAAAATAGTATTTTTTATTATTAAATTTAAAATGATTTAAAATAATCACTATCCATTCTCACTACGGTCGACCATCATTTAGGTTTAATTTTATATTTTAAATTTTTTATATTAAATAATAATAAAATGCCATGTCATAACAAAATAATAATAAAGTAGTTCAAAGTGACCAAAACAAGAGCAATTCAAAAGTTTGACGAGTAAATTGAAAAAATAAACAACGAGTGAAATAGGAAAGAGTAAAATTTAGTGATGAATGGTATAGTTTATCCTATATTTTATTAAAATATTAATATCATGATAAATTAAAAAGAGTCTTTGTTGTTTGTGATAATGAAATTAATTTTTTTTTAATAAAAGTACGAACCAATTTACCTCAATAGTTAAAGGAATCGTTGTTGTTCCTAGAGGTCTTGGGTTCGAGCACCAGCGACTGCAGCAGAATGATTGAGAGTTTATTGTGAAAGGATTGACAGTATTTAGAACATATACTACTTTATAATCACTTTAGCTTATTCAAAAGAAAATTTTAATAAAATATAAAATTTTTATTTTTATACACAAATTATAAAAGTTTTAATTTACGTAACTCTATATATTTAAATCTTAAAATTTAAAATCTACTTTATTAATAGTATAATCCTAAATTTTAAACATAAACTCTAAACTTTAAACACTAAATAATACATATATATATATATATAATTAAAATAAGGGTAAATTATATAAATGGTCCTCTGACTATAAAATATTACTTTATTAATTCCATCGATTATTAAAAGTTATAAAATAGTCCTCCGAGTATATGGAGTTACTTTTTTGAGTCTCTTGACTATTAAAAGTTACAAAATGATCACTTGAGTATTCATTATATTCTAAACTCGTCATTTTCAATTAAAATATTGATGACTGTCTGAGCTATATGTTAACTTGTTGATTGAGAATGATAAAATATGATCTCATAATTTAAAACGACTATCATATCTCAGTTAGTATGCTAACGTCCAACTCAGATGGCTGTTAATTTCTTAACAAAAAGGACGAGTTTATAACATAATGAATAGTCGAGTGACCATTTTGTAACTTTTAATAGTCAAAGGGCTAAATAAAATAATATCATATAGTTAAGGGACCATTTGTATATTTTACCCTTAAAATAAATAATCTTATATAACCGATTTATAACTACTTATTTAGTCGCCCAATCACATTTCTGTTTTGGTTACTAAGTTATTATTATTTTTTCTAAACCATATCTAATATTACATTTTGTTTATGTTTTAGTACTCATTGTTAGGTTTGATCGTTTGCATAATAGAATTGGTGATGTGGCATTGGTATAATAACAATTTTAGTATGTAAAGCTTACATATTCTATTATTTATCCTGATTCAAAATAATTCAAAAAATCCTCATTATTTAATAATCATATCAATTTGATTCTCATTTTAATTCGAAATAATTTATTAATTTATTAAAAAATTAGTGCTTGCTTTCAAAACTGTCGAAGTTTAGGGTCTTATTGTATGAATGTCCATTTTTATTTCAATTTCATCCCTGTCAATCAGTCTCGCGATCTCCATAGCTTCCACCAACATGTTCACGTCCTTGTTCATCCTTTCTTCATCGTTCGACAATTCCTCTGGACTCTTATAGCAGTTTGCTCATCGTTGATATCGCAACAACGTCTCCAACCATCTGCCACTATCACCACTCTTCTACATAATACACACTCTTCGAACACCATTTTTTCATTATTTCTGTTAATTTTCTCTCTATATATTTGTTTCTCTCACAGGCACCCAATATTCTTTGGCCTCAACTTTCAGTCGTTCGTCGAAAATCCAATTTTCAAAATTAACCCAATAACTCACGAGGGTGTGATTTAGTCAGTGGTTGTAAGGCCTAAACGACACTGTAAGGAGTTGACAAGGGGTGTCTAGCGACAACGTCAACTGAGCAATCTGACGATGACGACGATCGAGATTTGGGAGAGGGATTTTAGGTTTTATGTTGGACCAATTTGAAGGTTTCCAAATATTACAGATTTTTTTTGAATTATTCCAAATTAAGATCAATTTGATAGAATTCATAAGTTCTTTGGATTAAAAATATTATCATATCATACCCCATCATCCCTTCTGTTATGTCAACACTCAAACTTAATGACAGATGATTAAAGAAAAAACATAACATAAGTATGATTTTAAAAAAATAATAGTTCGATGACAAAATTAGAAACACAATAATATGTGAGTGACTAAATATGTAGTTTACCTACTTTAAATTATGCTAAGTGTCATGTCCCTAGAATCTCAAACTAGAAACTATATGACCTTATACATTTTTCAAAAGAAGTCGCCTAAGCTTGAATAATCTAAGTAAAAACACTTAGATAAAAAGTGTGGAAATAAATAAAACTTCGAAAGGAAAATGGCTCACAAACAAGAATAAGAGAATTTGAGAGAATTCTTAGCTTTATTCGTCAAAACTGAAGTGAAAAATGATGTGAGAGAATACTTTGAACAAATTGAATACAATCTATGGCTAAGATTAAAAGGAAACTCTATCTAAATATTTACATTATCTTATTTTTGAATTCAAAATAAAGATAATTATTCTAAATTAAAATAAAATAAATAAAAGAAATGAATTATTCAAAGGAACGACTAGCTGAGCTAGAGTGTCCCAAGATAGTCTTCAAGCTCCTATGGTTGCCTAGTGTTGGTGGCATATTAGGGTGGCCTAAGAGGTTCTGGAGGTGTCCTAATTTGTCAGTTTTCATTGATCTCAGTTGCATATTGGTAGTCCATGACATTCTCCCTCATTGATTCTAGCAATGCCCTTGACATGCGACTAGAGTGGTATTGGTTTATCTACTCCTTGAACTGCCAAAGTCCCATGGCTAGTTCCCAACTCCCCTCACTGTCGGGAAGCCCCTTCTAGAACAAATTATTCATGCCTTGGATGATGATATGGTCATTGGACACATCTTTTTTCTTCGATCTCTTTAACTTCCTTCTCATTGGAAATCATCACTTCGAGTGGCGCTCATTGTGATTAGCCTTGGTACCTACTCACTTCATGGTGATAAGGCTTGAGTAAGCTTGTAACACCATTCTCCCGTATATCTTTTTGTACATGAGATACAGATGTTACATCACTTTTAAAGCATTTCCTCTTTTAAAAACCCGTAAAATTTTGTTTCTTTTTATAAAACATTTTAATTTAATAATAATAAAACATGCATTAAACTTACGTAGATAAAAAAAAGTAATGTTCAAACATTTCATCATGTTATATCATGGTAAATCAAATACTTTTCAGAACGTTTTTACTAAATCTATTACATGCCAACTAAATACATCAAAAGTAGACATGGATGTCATATTGTTACCGACGAGTCGACATTGGCTTTGATGTCCGATGATCTCCTTACTCCGCTTGTATTAAAACCTACGTGTGAAATTAACACACGCTAAGAAATTTCTTAGTGAGGCATAAATAATCATAAGAAAATTTCTAAACACAAGTATATCATGAAAATTCTAATGTCCATTAATTCTATCAATTCATTTAACACTCTATAGTTTACACCCGTAGTGCCAATATAGTCATTTCCTAATCATTACTATAATTTACGTGGGTTGAACACCCACTACCAATACGGAAATTCACAAAATGCCCATACGGAAATTCATAAACTCATTAGGAATTTCTTAGTTTTTGCACACAAAGTGCCCATATGGAAATTCATAAACTCATTACGAATTTCTTAGTTTTTTTGCACACAAAGTGCCCTTACGGAAATTCATAAACTCATTATGAATTTCTTAGTTTTTGCACACAAAGTGCCCATGCGGAAATTCATAAACTTATTATGAATTTCTTAGTTTTTGCACACACAGTTCCCATTTGGTAATCACCATACATATATCAACTAATTATACATCTATGACAATCATAACATATAAGTACATAATAAATGCACTCACCTGGCTTGCCTCGCTATTATATCCAAAATGCAAAT